GTGCTTCCTCCCGGTGCTCCCTCTCGGTGCGCCCTCCCCCCCCCCGGACCCTCCCGCGGCTCCGCAGCCGGAACTAAGTCTCCGCAAAGTCCGGGCAGGAGGCGGCGGTGGAGGCGTCCGCGCCGAGCTCTGCACGTTGCATAATTGGTGCACGAGGTGTCGGCGCGGGGAGCGGCCGGGCGCGGCGGGGACCCCGGGGTGCGGCGGCGCCCGGGTCTTTGTGCCGCCGGGTGCCAGGCACAGTTTGCACCCGAAGCCGGCTTTCCTGGGGCTCCTCGGCAGCCCTCCCCGCCCCCCTCCCGGTCTGCCAGGAAAGCCCTGCGCCTCCTGACGTTTTGACCCTTTTACCCTTTTCCAGTTCTGGTGAACGTAAAGCCTGCTGGGTCTGGTGCCTTTTTTTTTTTTCCCACGACCAGCCAGCAATGCCCCATCCATCTTCCCGAAAGGAAATTAAGGCCGCGCAGGAGACACACCACCCTGGGCTCCGGGGCTGTTGGACCCATTTGCATGTTTGCAAGACTAAAGAGGTTTTCTGTATTGTGTGCTTTTGAGGGTCTGCACAGACATTTGCGTTCCACGGTATAGAAGACGGTGTCAGGACTTACCTCTGTTCAGAAGGATTTGGGTTTTTAGCTCAGACGTCTTAGTTTTTAACCCCTGAATCTTTGCAAAGCACGCTCATGGAAATGTGCTGAGTGGATCTTGGAATCTAAATATTTGTCTTTACCCAGGCGGTTGGATGCTCCTGGGCGCGTTGCAGTTCCATGTGTGTGCGTGCTGAGGACCGAGTGCTTTCGTGCCAAGCCTGGTCCTGTCTCCCCCAGGAACAGGACACTTCTCCCCAAATCTGGGATTGCCCTGCTATTTCCTGCGGAAAGATCTTTTCAGTCAACTTAAAAGCTGGATAGCGCTACGTGTTGGGCATATAATGTGAAATATTTTACATTTTGGAAAAGTTTAGAAATCAGGGTAAGAAACCTACAAGGCACAGATGACAAGTATGTGGTTTTCTGGAATAAAAGCTGAAGATGAACACTTGCGTGTTCAGTTTTTTATCACTGCATCCGGCGATCAGGCTGATGTGGGCAGTGGGTTTGTGGAATGACCATTGGATTCACCACTGGGTTCTGCAGTCAGACCATTTTGTTTATATGGAGCAGGTGAATTCCATCCACACTACGTGTTGCTAATTTCCAGAACTGCAGTGATAACACAGGTATATAGTGAATACAAACTTGGAAAATTAGTGTGTTGAAGGAGTATTTAAACTCTTAAATATAATATATTTTAGGAAAAGCCATCATATTATTTTATGTGTAGAAACCAAATTTTACTTCGATTATGAAGTAAAAATATCACTCTAGGTATTTTAAGATCTTTAAAGTTGTCAGTGGAAAGTCGATTTGTTTAGAGCCCAGGAATTATCATCTTTCTAGATCAAGTAATTGTATTAAATTAGTACCTTAGAAATTAATTTGAAAATACCAATGAAGATAATATTTTAAAGTTTTAATTTAGGAGTGTTTACTTTGTACTTTAGAGAGGCAAGACACCAATTTTATGCTTACAGTTAATTGAAATGATTTCTAGAACATTCTGTTCATAAAAATTAGTTGTGCCTGAGTGCACGATCATTTTGTCCCATGTTTTTTTCTGTAATTAAGGATCAGAAAACAAAACCAGCAGAAATTTCCTTTATTCTTGACATTTGAAAAGGAAATAGAAAACTTTATTTCTAAAAGATTTTATATTGGTTATCAGTGGCCTTGGGTGAACTTGTCATCTGTAGGTCAAGATTTCCATCAAACAAGGTGTCTTAAACCAA